TCCTTGAAGGGAGAGATGATCTGTTCTTCCAGCGTCCCAAGAACAACAGCGGGTGGTGTCAGCACAGGAGTTTTCAGCGGGTGGTGTCAGCACAGCAGCACACTGCTGCTTTGTTACATATTTTTATACCCTCAGTTCAGCTGCTTCGAAGCATTCTCAATAGTGTAAATCATTGTCTTTTCTCTTGACGAGGGGTTATCTGGTTTGGAACATCTCAAGAAACTGATTGATAATCAGGAAACACATAAGGTTAGGGAGTAACCAGATACTTGGGAGCCAGCTTGAAATTCCTATGGATAGCAGATATACTGATGGGATATCTCATGGTTTCTTTAGAAACAATAGATAGCTTGCAGCATCAGGATTTTGGATTTTTACTTGTTGTGCAAAAGCCTCAGCTTAGCATGACTTTTCCAGATCTTACTATAGTCTTTTAACAGACTTAAGGAAATTATTGGGGTGCTCATAAGCTTTTATGGAGAGGACTTCCATCAGTCGTCTCGGGAAAAGTATGGCAACACCTGTGATTAGGTCTCCAACGGGCTGGCCACTGTGATGAACCCCTTTACCATTGTTCAAATGTTGCCCATACCCCCTCTGACTCGGTCTCTTGCCTCAGCATTCCCTAACTCGGCAACCGAATTTTAGTAAATCAAGTTTAAATAGGCCTCCCATAGTGGGACCAAGGAATGTACGGCCCGAGATGCCTATTAAACTTAGAGGTGTGTGTGTGCCTGGGGGTAGGAAAAGTCCTTTGTAAATTCAGATTAGAACTGGTCTGATAAATGCTGAGCTGGGTGTGTGTGAACATGGGTTGATTAGCATTTGGAGCCCACCTTCCACATCATGCAGTGCTCCCCCGCTTCTCTGGTCCCAGAATTCACTGCAGTCTCTGCTTCAGGCTTTCTGTTCTCCATCTCCCATGTTAATGAATGGTCAACTGGTTCCATCTCGGATGCAAATGAGACCTAGGGCAGTTATTTCACTCTTGTCACCCTTATCTGGAGGGTCTTAGGTGTGTCTCTCACTGCATCTTAATCAGTGTCGTTTATGCAGAGGAGGGGAGGGAGGGGGTGAGTCCTTTGTGAGTCAAACAGGCTGTGTCCTGTGCCAGGGTTGCCCAAGAACACAGAGCTGAGACATAACACTTGAGTCAGAAGGAACTCGAGCTCTTCACTGGGGTCTAAAGAGGGTGCAGAGTGTGCACCCAGGGCTGAGTCAATGGAGAAGCATTGGGACTCTGGAGGATATTCTGGGTGTTGAGATCATTGTGAGTCTGTAGCAAGGGCAAGAAGGCAGCAGACTGACATAGAGAGACAAGCCATAAGCCTATAACCCCTTTCAAGGCTTCATCTCTCTGGCCTGGAGTCCCACAGCTCTCCTGCTCCCAGACCTGGCTAAAAGCTACAGATCCTTGTGCCCTAACCAGGATTGCTCAGCTTGCCTACAAAGATGGACCTCTTAGCGGCTCTGCCCTTGGAGGGCTGCAAGCAGTGGAGACTACTGCAATGGAAAACATCCTTCTCAAAATGTGTAGTCTTAACAGTAAAGATGCAGCGTTATAAGATGTGTCTATGTTCTTCCAGAGGCATCTCGCCTCCTGGCCTAGGTAAACTTCTGATGTCCGGGAGGGCAGGTTGAACTCATGGGAGTCTCTAAATGTCTCTAAGGCTTTGGATTGTCCCCCTCACAGAATTAAGCCCTCCCAGAGAATTTGTCTGGCAAGCCCATGAGGGGCCAAATCTGGGTACCAAACTGTCTTCATGGCTGCTGGAGATGTACAGGGAACTGCTGCTTCTGGTTGTATGCACCTCCTGCAAAACCCAAGACTGAGTTAACACCGTGCATATGGCAAAAAACTCACTAACCTGCTCAAAACAGTTTTCATGCTGCAAAGCTATCCTTGTCTCCACCCCGAACATCTTTCCCCAGTCGCCTGGTGCACACTCCATGGGGCCCCATGCTCCTCTGCTCTCTGGGCAGACAAAAGTAAATGCCAGTGTCAGGAACCAAGGTGGAAGTTTTTGTATGCCTTGCTATTTAAGTATTTCTGATGTGTTTGTTGCCATAGTGTTCAGGCTGTCATGCGGAAATGTGGTTCAGGGCATAAGGCCAGGCCAAGCATAACCCACCAGTGAACAGAGGTTGCCTAAAATGAGGAGAAAAGTTCTGTGAATTTTCACTCAAGGGGATCACGCCAGGAAGAAACAGAACATGGGAATATTGCCCTGCAAGTGATGCATCCAGACCACGGTCACTAGAGCATCACTCCAGTGCAGGACAGAGTGCCCCTCCACGTCACAAGATCTGCAGCAATATCCCCTAGTTCTTGACCCACCAGTGTGGAGGGCCAGGATATCCACTCCCATGTCCTGCGGTTGTGAGCTACTGCCTATTTTCCTTCTCCCCTTGTAACATGGCTCCTTTAGGAACTGTATTTTGCATTCTGCCACCCTGCATACCACCAGCTTCGACTTTCCCCTCTCCAATGTTGTGGAAGAGGTGGAGTAGGTTCACAAATAAGTAAATGCTACCAAGACCAGCGGCAGATGGAGCACCCCACAGGTCCTGCCTTAAGAGAGCAGGGGGAGGATACTGCTTAGGACAGTCCAACCCACATCTTCTTGGCCATGTCCCCTCTGAACCCCTATGGCTCCCAGAGACGTGGGGCTCAGGAGAAGCTGTTGCAGCAGCTCAGGCTTTCCTCCGCCTGTTATAAGCCACCTAGTCAGTCTTGGCCATTATCCAGGCCCATTTCATCCATACTGTATATGAAAGCAATTGGGATGATTCAGCCTTGAGATTTTTTCTCTCCTCTTTGACAAGTCACGGTACTCTCTGGGCTTTTTATCCCAATCACGGATCATTTCAGATGCAATTTGCAGTGTGTTTCAAGTACAAAAGCAGAAGAGACAGCCTGCTGAGAAAGGAGTGAGGCTCCAAGTGGCCGAGGCTAGTCTGTGCTCCCCTCATCTCATGGAGAGCCTCTGTGCTGCCCTTGTCTCATGTCGAGGTAAAGAGGAAAGTTCAAAGAGCTGTCACTCCAGGCAGCTCATGCCAACAAGAAGCAGAAATGAGAAGGAACCTAGGAATTTGTGCCGAGCTGAGACCCGGCCCGTTGTGGATGAACTCAAATCCACTTTCCTCTCACTGTCGTCTCACAACTGCAGGCCACTTCTGCTTCAAACACTTGAGAGCAGTGAGTTGCTAAATATTTAATTTCCACTCTTACCACCCAGAGGGAAACTGAGCAGCTGGGTCAGGGTTGTAAGGAGCCTTCTACTTCTAAGTCACCCGTCTGTATCCATAGGGGCTGAGTTCCTACAGTTAAGAGATTTTAAAAGCGATGTAGATGAAGCTGGGGTGGGATGTAGTTTGAAAAAGCCCTCTTGGGAGGGACAGGTTGGGAGCCTATGTTACCTCAAATCAGAGAGACTGCCCCTTTCTAATCAGGAGACTTGGCACATGTATCGTTGATATTATGAGACATGTTATAGTGCCAGAGTTAGTAGCAGTGGTTGTACTGGACAGATTCTGTTGTCATATCTAACACAGGCCATAGCGGAGGTGAGTGCATGTCCTCTTAGCCATGTATCTCCATGAGACATTGAGACAGCCCACATTTTTAAGAGCCGCCTCTATCCTATTGCCCCAGTTAAAGACAGCCCTGGAGACGAGGGGCAATTCGGACGTCTCAGGCATTCAGAGGGATGCGATCCGGCTGCCGGCCAGCTCACTGCGGGAGCTTCGGTGCCCCCTGGGAAGACTCTGTGCTGACAGCGAACCCCACCGCGCCGAACACATGGTGACCTACAGGGACAGGCTAATCGATAGTCCGCAAAGGATGCACGCACTGATGCCACAGCAGCGCTTCTCAGCTCTTTTGGACTCAAGGCACCTTTCCCTGGCCTGCAGGCGTCTCCGTAACTTGTGTGGCCTCCGATTTCAATAACAAAGTTATATGCTGCAGCGCTTCCCTCCTTGCAGAGGGGCTGGGCGGGGGATTGTTGAGGCAGCGAGAGGCCTGAACCTGCATTTATCTCCTTCACTTATCCGATCATCTCCCTACGCCTCTCCTCACACCCTTCACAGAATCACAATGCCCCGGGCTGAGCATCGCGGTGCTGAGGTAGCAGCCGCCAGCCCAGGCCTACGTCTCTGTCTTGCCGAATGCTCCGGCGCGGGAAGCAGGAGGCTGCCATCCTGCAGCGGGACGCAGAGACGAGACGCTCCCGCTCGCCCCGCTGCAGGCGTACACGGGGTGGGGGGGCACGGGGAGGGCGGCTCAGCCCAGGGGTCTCGTCCAGCGTCGCAGTGACGCTCTCGCTCTTGCGGGGGGCTCCCGAGCGCTTAGAAAGGCGCGGGGCAGGCCGTTAGGGTTAGGGTTCGGCTCGTCTCTTCGGGGAGAGATTATGGGGATTATCTTTCGAACCCACGTCTGGGCCTCGTTAGCCGCAAGCCCCTGATTGACTCAAGGTGCTCCCAGCGTCTCCCTGCGCCCCGTCTTGAAGAGGGGACCTGTGCGGCAAAGAGCTCAGGGCACCCATGGGGCAGGGGCTTCACCCCTGTGTGGGGGTCTGGGGCAGGAGGAGGAGGAATGGGGAGGAGGAGGAAGGCGATCTCTTGCATTACACCAACTAGATCTTTGCAACAAAAATACTTTAATTGCAAACTTCCGGAGCCCCGGAGACCCACACCCCGAGCAGGGGCAGGGGAAGCACGG